CCCCCCCTATTCGCGCATACCATCGTATTATATACATTCTCATGCGCGTTGTAAATACACCTACGTTCCTACGTTATTCACGACGATTCGTTCGCAGTTACAATCCTATTCGCGGACGAATGCGTGAGAATAAAGTCAAAAATCTCCGCCGCGCGAAACAATGGCGGAGGCACGATAGTAAAATCGTGAGACTCATTAATCTCACATTTTGTCCTGTCGTTAATCCGGTCGCTTGTATTTCAACGACACGCGTTATCGGCTAGTATAGCTAAATAAATATCTATTGTTCGCATCCCTTTCGCTAAAGCCGGTACGGTAAAGTCCCTCGGTATCTTTGTACTTTGATTGCGTCGCTTGGTCGTATCTTTTCAGCGCGCTACCTCCCTTAAAAACACACCGCCGAGTTACAATGTCGAACGTCCGCGGGAAATACATTTCGCGAAATATGTATGTGACATTGTTTCCATGAAACCAGATACCGAGCATGCTGAGCGGTCCGGCGCAGCAGCGGCTGGAGGACATGCCCTGGCTGGCTTCCGGTCCGTCGTTGGAATACCAGCAGGGCATCTCGCCGATCCCCGCGGGAGTAAAGATGTGCCATCCCGGCGGCGGCACTGCCCAGAGGAGCCTCAAGGAGCAACGGATACGTCGTCCGATGAACGCGTTCATGGTCTGGGCAAAGGTCGAGCGCAAGAAGTTGGCCGACGAGAATCCGGATCTCCACAACGCCGATCTCAGCAAGATGCTGGGTAAGTGCGCAAATGAAAAATATATTTTCTTTCTCGCGAGATACTTATTTATACGTATATTAATTGTCTTTCGAGAATTTTCAAATTCGATCTGGCTGTATTATATATTAATTAATAAGTTGTTAGAGAAGAAACGTTATTTTCTTCTCTTAACGAGGAATAAATTCTCACGATTTGCTTTGATCTAGAAATCCACTGCTTTTACTAGGATATTTCTGAATATTCAATCTCTCGTGTAAAACGCAAAACAGATGATATTTAATTAAATAAATATTGTATCGTTAAAAAATGCAATTAAAACGTATCGGGGTTGTGGATACCCGTTATGGAAAAATTTTTCATTCCCGGATTCGACGAAGATGAAGCGTGCAAGATTAGAAAGAGTCTTGCCTTTTAAAAATACATGTACTCGGTGAAACAATGGCGGTTTCTCGCGGGAAAAGACTTTTCCGCCGGGAAACTGACTCTGGGAATAAGAAAGCAGGAAAAATCTTGCTCGCTCGCGTGGCGCGTCATCATTAAATTAATTACAACGTCGAGCGAATAGAATTAATCTAATTACACGCATGGAGCGGGGGATGTTGGACGAAACGAGGAGAAAGAGGTGAGAGACCTCGCTCTCGGGGAGATTACGGACTAGGAAAAAAAAAGCGTTACTTTATGCCAACTCGACTCGTTAACACCAATGTTTATTCTGTCGCAAATGCGTGTAGCCGAGACCAGTCTCCGCGAATATAACTCGCGGCATCTCGTTCGGTATCACCAGCAGCCACCTGCGCGATCGAGATAGGGAAATCGTTCTCTTATCGCGCCACGCCGTATATCGGAGTCCTCTTGTCAAATCTCATTCCGATCGCTGCATTATCGCTTAGCGATTTCCAAGTAACATGTCTCTTTCTCTCTCTTTAAGGCAGCGCAGGTACAGACATTCCGAGGATAAAACGATAGCCTTGCTATCGTGTTAATGCACATTCGTCGCGCGATATACGCGAATCGTCGATTTCGCGTAAACCGAAACGCTTTCAGCGGCAGACGGTGGTTTTGCGGTTGTTCCTCTTTGTTTCTTTTTTTTCTCTCTCTCTCTCTCTCTCTCTCTTTCTTCCTCTCTTATTCTCGCATGTCTCGTGTCTCCCCGGCGTTAAAACTGAGAACCCATCATCCGGTACCATCCTAACGATCTGTCAGCGCCGACCGGAGCTCGCGCGCGCGCGCGCACGCGCTATCGTGGGCAGGTACACCTTGAATTATCGACAATTGGCATCCGCAACATTATTGGCATTTGAACGATCGAGCGGCCGTCGTGCAGAAAATTGTAAACTTCTCTTCTCGTGTGTAACCACCTACCTACCTATCCTACCCGTACTCATTTCAACGCACAGTGTGTCGTGTATGTTTATAATCGCGCGTGTATGCGTGCACGCGTGCTCTCCCGTCCCTCTCCGTCCCTCCTATAAAGCGTCTTTTTCCCCTCTCATCTTACGCTCTCTTTCTCGGTCTTTCTTGATTTGTTCGTCGAGCCAAACCTATAAATCACCAATCCCTCTCCTCCCTTCCTCCCCCCTTTCCCCACGTTTCCCTCCCCTTGGCGCCGGTTATCGATGCGGAGTAAGGAAAACTCGTCGTCGGGTTTATCGATCGAACATTAGGCGCGATGTTATTGGCATGACGCGGCTCCGATTGCTATGCGCGCCGAGTTGCTTTTGCCGCCCCCACTCTCTTGCCCCTCGCGTCTCCTTTTTTTTTTTTTCTTTCTTTCCAGACATCCTACATATTCATGCGCGTGCTATGTGTCGATCCATCCGTTCGTATGTCCGTTAGTCCGTCCATCCGCGCGTGCTGCAGCGTGCGCGCGTGCGAGCGCGAGCGTGCGAGCGTGTTTGGCATGGGCACACGCACACGCACACGCCGATTGTGTTGCCGTTTGTTTGTCGGTGTGGGGCGGGCGTATATACCACCGATGGGGGCCGTGTGGGCACCTTATATCCGGTGACACGCGTGCCCGCGCATCTTTATTAATCGTTCTTCCCAACCGTTAACCCATCTTCGAGATCTGTCAACATCTGGAAATTAATTGCGCTCTCACTCGAATATTGGTCCCACTTATCGTCGCTATCGTTCGATTATCATCTCTCGTCATCGGCGACTCTCGTATCACGCGTCCTTGTCGCTCCCGCCGTTTCGACGGTCGTTAATTTCGTTGTTAATTAGCGGAGCGGCGACGACGTCGGCGATTCGCACGGTCGTATCGCGGAGAATCGGGCCTGGCGGAAGGAGAAACCACACCGCCGCTCATCCTCATCGTCCTTTATACGGTACGACGACGCGACGCCACTGCGTCGTGTCACGGGAACAGGGGGAGGGGGACCACCTACGACATATGTGGCAGCCCGCAAATAATACCGGGGCGTGTGCGTGTGTTGTACCACTGGCGACAGCGGAGATACAGGGCTCTAACTGCCAACGCGGTATCGTAGTTTAGTGCCTCTGATTACCTCCCTTACTCTCCTATGAAAGATATATATATATACGGGATGTCCCTTTGATCGCGGATGTCGAAGAAAAATGCATGAGAAAAGCCGAGGCATCGAGCTCGTTACGAGGCTAATTGGCATTGAAATTTGATGGCGATAATCGAATAATCGTATCTGATTTCTGACTTAATTTTTTATCGCGCGTTTTCTCTTAACAAAAATTCAATTTATTAAAAAAAAAAAAAAAATTATTTAAAGATATCTATAAATTGAAAATTGGAAATTTGTACCAATATATATGAGTCTAATTTTTTATCAACAAGACAAATTGATTCTCTCTTCTTCTGTTGAAAAAATTATAATTGAAAGACGATAACGGGACACCCTGTATATTCTTCCCCGCGAGAGAAGGATACGTTCTTTCTCTCGTAAAGTACCAAACTGCCTTCCGAACGCGGCCGATTCGCGGCCCTTAAACGACGGATCTCGGCGTGTACGGTATCTCACTATAATGGTGCTCGGTGCGGAAGGGCCGATAACAACGTCGACCTCCGTTGGTCGATTTAAGGGACGGTGCGCCGATTGAAAGTTATTGGTCG